TACCTCAAAAATACAGGAGGAAACTTGTGTCTCACGAAGAAATTGAATTTATCCAATGTGGAGGTCCAGAATAATCACTGACAATGTGGCTGTTGTTTGTCATCAGACAAAGAAGAGGCTTTCTAAGAAAAGACTTCCAAAATGACAAATAGGAAATTGTATATTAAACAACTTTAATAAATATTCTGTAAAAAGGGAAAAAAAAGATGAATAGAAAATTTAGGTAGACACTTATATCTCCTAATTTATGTATCTTGATCAGCTTCTCTATAAGCTTACCTGATTGTTTATATACTTTATACGTTAATTAAAGTATACATCTTGATTATCAAGCATAACAGTGTTGAACTACTGAAAGCACACAACGTCTAGTGAACCATCAAAGGCTTCCAGTAATTTCACTTTTCAGTTTCCATTTAAACATAGAATATATTTGGCAGAATTGCAGCTTTCTGGAAGTAATTTTCCTGAACTTGAATGAGGATCTGTGAAATAATAACTCCATTATTTGTTCTTACTTCTCAATGTTTTTGCATTCACAAAGTTACTTAGGTATAACTGGCTTATTAACAAGCATATCCTACTCTAAATGATAAAAATATACCCATGGTAAAACAGGTGACTTTGTGGTATTAGGACTAGGGAGTGAACACAAAATATTATATGTAGCCTGTATTCAGAAAAGAAATGCCAGAGTATAAAATGGAAAATGAGATCAAAATGAATATAGCATAGGAATAACATTTGACAAGAAATTGTAATTTATTATGTTTTCAGGGGGGTTAAAAAAGTCCTGTTCTTTGGTTTATCTCTTTCTTTTGATTGTGATCATGTATGCAAATCCTGATAATCATAAACTTTCTCAAACTTAAAAAAAAAATCCCTGGGTCAGGAAGATCCCTTGGAGAAGGAAACGGCAACCCACTCCAGTACTCTTGCCTGGAAAATTCCATGGATGGAGGAGCCTGGTGGGCTACAGTCCATGGGGTCGCAAAGAGTCGGACATGACTGAGCAACTTCACTTTCACTTTATGACATATTAAGAACTCTAGAGTCAAACCCTTTGATTCACCCACTGCTCTCTTGCTCACATGCTCCCAATGCTAGTGTATATATCAGGATGGGGGCTTCATGGTGTCCCCAGCTGTTGCTTCCTATCCCTACTCAATCTCTGTTGAAGCACTCCCTGTTCTCATAATCCAGACAGCTTTGTGGATGAGGCCAGAAAATTTGTACGCATTATTAATGAGATCAGGAAAAGGTAGTAGGCAGCTGGTGAACTGGAGGTGTGGTGAGGGAGGGGAGTAGGGAGGGGTGAAGCCTGGGCTGTGGGTGGTGGGTGGGCAGGGGGCAGGACATTGTCTTGGAGTCACAACAGAAGACTGAGTGGGGCTTCTGGGAGTTTTACTCTCCTAATAAAGTGATCCAGTGGGCATGTCCTTGCCTTCTTCTACCCTCTGCTGCCTGGAAAACAGACATAACCGGTAGGGGCGCAATGATGAAACCACATGCATGAGCCCCAAAGCCAACACATCGTCATACACTGATGATGGCAGAAAAGAAGTGGAGAAAAACTCCGGGCTTCCCATGGCAGAGCTGGACAGCTGGCTGAACTCAGCCCTCTCCCACCAGTTTGAAATCAAAATCATTTGCTGTTTCTATTGTCTGAGGTGGCGCTAAGTGGTGAAGAACCTGACTGCAAATGCAGGAGGCATAAGAGACATGAGTTCAATCCCTGGGTCAGGAAGATCCCCTGAAATAGGAAACAGCAACCCACTCAAGGGTTCTTGCCTGAAGAATCCCAGAGGAACCTGGTGGGCTACAGTCCATAGGGTTGCAGAGTCAGATGCGACTGAGCACATCTTTTGTGAGCCACTGACAGTCCAGCTTGTTGTTACTCGAAGGCAAGAGCCATCCTAACCAATGTCTATAAGTTTTATTTATTTTGGCTGCCCTGGGTCTTTGTTGCTGCATGTGGGCTTTCTCGAGTTGTGGTGTGCAGTCACTGCAGTGGCTTCTCCTGTTGCAGAGCAAGGGCTCTGGGGCACGCAGGCTTCAGTAGTTGTGGCTCATGGCCTTAGTTGCCCCTTAGCAGGTGGAATCTTAGTTCCCAGAACAGGGATCAAACCCATGTTCCCTGCATTGGTAGGCAGATTCTTAACACTGGACCAACAGTGCTGTGCTTAGTCGCTCAGTCGTGTCGGACTCTCTGCGGACCCCATGGATGGCAGCCCCCCAGGCTCCTCTGTCCATGGGGATTCTCCAGGCAAGAATACTGGAGTGGGTTGCCACACGCTCCTCCAGGCGATCTTTCCAACCCAGGGATTGAACCCAGGTCTCCTGCATTGCAGGTGAATTCTCTACCCTCTGAGCTACCAGGGAAGCCCAAGAATACTGGAGTGGGTAGCCTATCCCTTTCTCCAGGGGATCTTCCTGACCCAGCTATCGAACTGGGGTCTCCTGCATGGCAGGCGGATTCTTTACCAGCTGAACTACCAGGAAAGTCCCCCCAAATCTACTTCTAACTGAAACCTATGTATCCTGTATCAAACTTTGGAAATTTCATAATTAAGGAGTATGACGGTCATTTTGCAGGAGAAATTGAGAATCAGAGAGGTAGTGTCCCCTGTTGGAAGTCAGACAGCAGCTCCGTGGTAAAGGTCTGACTCCCACGGCTTACACTGGGCCTTCTGGCACGTGCCTATTGACCCCACGGAGCCAGATGGTGAGCAGGGGGCTCATCAATGCCTGCTGAATGCACAAATGGTCTTCTCCCAGGTAGTTGAGACCCCTCTCAGTACTGACATTCTAAGATCTGTGGGTTTCGAAAGTGAACACTGACGTACTGAAGTTTGGAATGTCTTTTGAGGCTTGCCACAATTCCTATTTCTGACTCAACTCCTACAGATGCCAATGAAATGGGAGGTTTTCAAATTCCAAACCAGGCCATGGGAAATAAAGATCCCACAAAAGAAATAAATTGACTTTGACAGTGTGAGAACGTTGAGGCTATACCAGGTGGGGAGCAACAGGAGTAGCCTTCAGTTTCAAGCTGGCCTCCCCATCCCCACCCACCCGGTCCAGGAGATGCTGGGAGCACGGTAGCAGGCAACTTCCCCAGACTTCAGAAATGAGTGCGGTGACAGCAGCAATCAGACGAGAACACGGGCAGGCAGACTCTGTATTTCCCTCTTCACTTCTCCCTGACCTTGTCCCAGCCACCATCAGAAAAGGACCTGATTTGACATCATTTCAGCCCTTCTCACCATCCTGCTGAGGTTCCTGAAATGGGGAAACAAGAAAGAATAAATAATAATAATAACAGCAGCAACTCTTAAAAAAAAAAATAGCATTTGTAGGGCTTACTATGTTCAGGCACCTTTCTAAGATTTTCCATTTCCAGGGCTTATAATGCCTTCCAGAGTCTCCTTGACATTTTTGAAACAAAGCAGACACACTCCTACCACAGGGCCCTTGCACTTTCTGTCCCTTCTGCCCAGAATACTTACCCCTAGATATCCACATGCTTCAGTCCCTTACATCCTTCAAGTGTTTAAATATCATTTTCCCAATGAGATTGTCTCTGACCACTCAACTTAGAGATGCAAAAAATCCCCAGCAGCCTCCAAAGCCTTTTCCCTACTTTATTTTTCTTCTTATCACTTATCTCCTAAAGTGCCTTCTAGGGACTTCGCTAGAAGCACAGGTTTGATCCCTGGTAGAGAAAGTAAGAGAGGAGCGCATGGCAACCCACTCTAGTATTCTTGCCTGGAGAATCCCCATAGACAGAGGCGCCTGGGGGGCTATAGTCCATGGGGTTGCAAAGAGTCAGACATGACTGAGCGACTCAGCACGGCATGGAGGAACTGAGATTGGACATGCTGAATGGTGTAGCCAAAAAAAGAAATAAAAGGTAATGAAAGGCCTTCTCTTCACCTAGGGTCTTGTTCACTGTCTTCCATTAACTGTCAGCTCCACTAGGCCAAAGGCTTGTGTCTATTTGGTTCACCACTGTATCATCCCCAGGACCTAGAACCATACCTCATAGGTACTTAGGAAATACTTGACTAAAATGAAACCCAGTGAGGTTAAAGACACGTGACTCAAGACGGGCCAATGATAGCACTGCCAATGATAGCAGTGTAGTGACATTCCCTTGGCTCTGAGTGATTCATTCAGAGATGGACCTGTAACTTGATCCATGCCAATGGGAATCTTTGCCAGATTATGGTATACTTATGATGAGTATATCAAAACTCAACAACTTGTGTGCTTTAAACATGTACTGGTTCTTATGCATCACTTACACTTCAATAAAGTTGGAAACAATTGTAAAGTAGATACACAATAGACAAAGTATTAAATCAGTAGCAGCTTACAAATATCTACATAGTGAGTGGTTTTAAAAATCCAGTACTGGTGGAAAACAAATGGTTGTGTCTATGCTTTAAAACATTAAGACAACATTAGCAATAGGACTTTCTGCAATTGTTGATTCCATGTTCTGTATCTGCACTGTCCAATACAGTTGCCACATGTGGCTGTGAACATTTGAAATGTGGCTAGTGGGACTAATAACTGAATATTTAATGTATTAATTTAACTAACTCCATTAAGGTGAAAAGTCACATGCTGTTATTGTCACATACTGCCACAGCACAGCTTTACAATTAAAAGTTTAAAAAAAATTTATTTGAAAAAAAAACTGTATAGTTGATATATGCTGAGCCTACTCTGACATACACTGAGCCGTGCACTACTTATTACCTTATAAGACGCATTTTATGGAATTAACAACCCCATTTTACAGATGAGGAAACTGAGGCTCAGAAAAGGATATAGATAACTTAACCTGATTTTAACAGTGAGGACTGGTTGAGCAGGATTGGGGCTAAGGTGTCTTTGACTCCAAGACAGGGCCCTGCCTTCTGCCTGCCCACCCACCCATAGTCCAACCTCCACCCCTCCCACCTCACTGCCCTCACCTCACCTCTAGCCCACTAGTTGCCTGCTACCCTTTTCTTGAACTCCTCATTGAGCAGGTTCACAATTGTCTGTAGCTTGGCCTCATCCACAAAGCCATCACCATTCTGGGCACAGAAGGGAAAGAGCACAGACATGTAGGTGTCTCCCCGCTGGGAGCTCCAGCCTCCCTCTCTGGCCAGGAACCTTGCTCAGAGTCACCTTCTTTGAATGTACCAGTTTTCCATCCACAAACACTTCAAACTCCCCTGTAGCCTGGGCAGATATTTCCTCCTCCTGGGGAGGGAATGTTGGAGGTTAGTGGAGGCAAAGAACTCCCCTCCAAGTCCCTTGGAGGGTCTTGGAGCCCTGATTGCCCCCCTCCCAACTCTCCCAAGCTATCAGCACACTCACGAAGATTAGAGAGTTTGGAAATTGCTGCTCCAGACTCTTTCTCAGTAGGATGTACTGTGGGGAGGAGACAGGATTATGTGGTTATGGGATCACAGGGTCATAGGTCTTGAGAGGAGGGAAAACAGGAACCCCTTCCAGACATCATGGCCCAAACTCCCCCCACCTCCAAAGCCAAAACTACTTACCCGCAGGCTGTAGCTTCAGAGGCCACTGGAGGCCGAGGGCAGAGAGGCGGGAGGCAGAGAGAGGTGGAAGGAAGATACATCATTAGAATCTCTTGAAGTCCAAAGAGACACTATGAAGAGCTAAGTCAGATCTTGTCCCTCCCCTGCTCAGAAGCATCTGAACACAAAAAGAACACAGTCCTCCCCATGGTCCACAAGCCCCGACAGGATCCACCCCCATCACCTCTCTGCTCCATCTCTTCCCTCTGTCCCTCTGGCTCCAGCCACGGGGACCTCCTAGCCCTTCTTCCAACACTCCAGGCATGCCTTGCCTCAGGATCTTTGTACTGGCTGTTGTCTCTGCAGAATACTCTTTCCCTGGTAGCTCAAAGGCTCCTTCTCGCCCCTCTTTCAGATCTTTGGTCAAGTATTGCCTCCTTGAGGATACTCCAGCTAACCTGTGACACCGCCCCCCCAAGATGCCTTTTGTCCATAGCGCTGGTCACCTTCTAAGATATTAGATAACTTGCCATGTGCTGTGTTTATTGCCCATTCCTGCCCCTCCACATCAGAATGTCAGTGCCACAGGCATCTTTGTCTTATTCACTGCTGTGACTCTGATGCTGAGAATAGGGTCAGCACATGGCAGATGCTGAATAAATGGTTGTTCAGTGAATAAAATAATGAATGAATCCATGGAGTCAGAGAAAGAGAAAGAAGATGGGGAATTCCCTGGTGGTCCAGTGGTTAAAATTTCACACTTCCACTGACGGGTGCGCAGGTTTGATCTTTGATCCTTGGTCAGGAAAGCTTTGCATGAAGCACAGGTTTGACCCAAAAAAGGAGGAGGAGAAGATGGGCAGAGAAAAAGAGGTGGGGGAGAGGGGGAAAGAGAGACAGAAGGAGAAAGAGCTACACATCACAAGGGGAAAGGAAAAGAGACAGTGAGTTGGAGAGAGAGCTAGAGAAAGACCATCACATGGGGGTGGGGGGGGCAGGGGGGGGCGACTGGAGGGGAAGACAAAGCCTCACGTCCGGCCACATTCAGTCCTGGGTCTCAAGGAAGTCAAGGAAGGTCACTGCTGTTTACTCTTGTCATTGACACAAAGATTCCACTCTGGGATCACAAATGTGGACCCCTCTGGCCTTTGTATTGGGTGTTCCCCCTTTCCCTTGCTACCCGGGTCCCCCTACTTCTATCCAACCCTCCCCACCCCACTTGGTAGCCTCATCACTGAGAAGTTGCAGCCTAAGACCCACCTCCCAAGAAAGGCTGCTTCTAAGCCCTCAGCTTTTGAAGTTCTCCCATTCCTCCTCTTCCCTCTTCCTGCCCCCATCTCCTGCCCCGACCCCAGGAAAACATGGCTTGGCTCAGCCCTCTATCTCCTGAAGGCCTGGCCCACAGCAGCAGGAGAGTCAATGAATGAATCCAGAGCTCTCCGATCCCAAAGAGAATAGCAGGCCCAGAGGCAGAAGCAGGTGTGGGCAGGGACAGCTCCTTACCAGTAGACCACTTGAATCATGATCTTGTTTTCCGCTTTGAGGCTCCCACTGATGGAGGCTAATGCAGGAACCGGTAAGATGGCCTGGATGGCCCCTAGGATGGGCGTCCCTGGGACATGTCCAGAAGAAGCTATCAATTTGGTGGTCGATGGATCTGTCCTCAGAGGGGACCCGCGGGATGGGGACGGTAAGTCGGTGGCCAGTGGAGTAAGAGCAGGAAGGGGCTCTTGTATGGGAGGAAATCCACTGGCAGCTGATGAAACCTGCTTCACCCTCGGGGTTGGCTCAAGTTTCTTGGCAGGTGACACAGTGAGCGTGGGTTCAAGTTCCAGGGGCGGGCCCGAAGGCGAGTCGGGGAGGGATTCCAAGGCAGAAATCAGGACCCGAGATGGGATCAGGGTTGGGATCGGGTCCGGAGTTGGGATCTGGACCGGAGTCGGAAACCGGATCAGTGTCGGGGTCCCGATCGGTGTCGGGGGCCGGACAGGAGTCGGGGGCCGGACGGGAGTCGGGGGCCGGATGGGAGTCGGGGGCCGGAGTGGAGTCGAGGGCGGGACCGGAGTTGAGGGCGGGACCGGAGTTGGGGTCCGGACCGGAGTTGGGGTCCGGATGGGGGTCAGGGTCCGGATGAGAGCCGGCGTCCGGACCAGAGTCGTGATCCGGGTCGGGCCCGAATCCGGGCCCGGAGTCGGAGTCCGAACCTGGATGGAGGTCTTGCGCAGGGTCGAACCCCGGACCGGAGTCGAGGCCCGGGCAGGGGTAGGGGCTGGGGTCCGCGGCTGGTTGTTCATGGGGTCTCGGGGCGCACCCCCGGTAGCCGGGGTGGGGATCCCACCCGACCCTCCTGCCTAGGGGCGGGAAGAGCCTCATCCGCACGGGATTCTAGCGACCACAATGGGGCGCTGTTGCGCGGGGTTCCATTGGGCGCGCGGATTCTACCGCCCTGAGCCGGGGATGCGGCAGGGATCTCTGGATCTCACCTGATAACTCCCATCCCCTGAATCCCTACCTCCAGTTACCAACGTCCTTAATGTTCAGGCATTCACTATATGTTTATCGAGAGCCTGCAATGTGCGCCCTCCTGAGCTGGGCGACTCTTCGGACACAGCAGTCAGGAAAGACCGAGTCCGGAGATGAGGCTCCCTGTCCAATAGGGGAGATGCGCGTGTGGCCGACTCTGCGATCCCAGGGACTGTAGGCCGCCAGGCTCCTCTATCCATGGGATTCTCCAGGCAAGAATACTGGAGTGAACTGCCATTTCCTCTCCCAGGGGTTCTTCCTGACCCAGGAATGGAGCCTGTGTCTCTTAGACTGGCAGGAGGATTCTTTACCGGGGAGCCACCTGCAAAGCCCAGGGGAGACACACCCCTTACCAAACAGTGACATTCCTGTGAGGTCAGAGTGAGGGTGGAGGAGGCAGAGGCAGAGGAGTTAGAGATATGGTGAGGAAACATGCGGACTTGTGGGACCCCAGCAGAGGTGCTAGAGTAAGTCTGAGGCAATCAGAGAAGGCTTCCTAAAAGAGGTGACCTGGAGAAGAATAACAACAGATCTTACATTCACATAGCGCTAAATGCTATACACATGCCCATAGCTGGGACGTGGCAGAACCAGGATTCAAACCACAGCTCTCAGACTCCAGGGTCCGGACCCAGAAGCCTGGGTACAGGGCTCTTATCACACTGTGAGCTCCTCCGTGGTGGGAACTTGTCTGACTCACTGTGAATCCCCAGCTCCTACAAGGCCTGGCATACAGTAGGCACTCAATAAATCTTTTTATTTTGAAAGTTTTTTTAAATATAATTTTATTTATTTAGTTTTGACTGTGCTGGGTCTTCACTGTTCCTCAGGCTTTCCTCTAGTTGCAGTGAAGGGGGACTGTTCTCTAGTTGTGGTGCTCAGGCTTCTCACTGCAGTTGACTTCTCTTGTTAAGGAGCGCGGGCTCTAGGATGTGCAGAGGCTTCAGGAATTGTGGTTCCCGGGCTCTACAGCATGGGCTCAGAAGTTGTGGCACACGGGCTTACTTGCTCCATGGCATGTAGGATCTTCCCAGACCAGGGATCGAACCCGTGTCTCCTGCATTGGCAAATTGCTTATTCTTTACCACTGAGCCACCAGGGAAGCCCCTGCAACAGTTGTAACACTTACCAGAAATTGGGAAAATAGTACAGAGCATCCCAGTGTCCCTTTCACTCAGCTCTCCTCAATAACAACATCTTAAGTAACCACAGTATGTTATCAAAACCAACTAGTCCAATACTGTTAGGTCAGGTACAAACCTTATTCAGATTCATGGAAGAGTTTCAAGCAGAAGCCTACAGTGCTTCTCAACCTCTGAGAGTCCTTCCTGTGGTAAATTTTGGGCCTGGGTTCCCAAAACCAGGAGGATCAAGAAAGACTGAACTTTCTGTGTGATGCTGGGTAAGCCTCTACCACATCTTTGGGCTTCAGTTTGCCCCTCTGTGAAATGAACTTGAAACAGGCTTTCCTCTTATAGCATAATATTGAGCACTAACATTTACTGATCAGCTATCATATGCCAGCCTCTGTTATAAAATGCTTGTAGTTATTAACTCACTACTCACAACCTTCTGAAGCAGATTCTATTACTAGTCTCATTTTATAGAAGAGAGAGGGAAAGTGACTTGTTTGAATAAGTGGCAGAACCAAGATCTGAACCAAAGCAGTCAGATTTCTGGGTGTTTGTAAGCTTTGGGTTTTTGTTTGTTTGTTTTGGCTGCATCGGATCTTAGTTTTGGCATGCTGGATCTTTCCTTGTGGCCCATGAACTCTAATTGTGGCACACAGGCTCAGTAAGCTTGCAGTGTACAGGCTTTAGTTGCCCTGAGGCATATGGGATCTTAGTTCCCACTAGGAATCGAACTCCTATATTGCAAGGCAGATTCTTAACCACTGGACCACCAGGGAAGTCCCTGACTAGGTGAGGTTGTGGGGAACTGTCTTTTGGTTTTTTTTTGGAGTGGTCATCTAGGTTACTTTATTTACTATTGCCATTGGGCTAAATGCAGTAAGTGTACACCTGAAAGATTTAAAGCTTTGCCAAAAGAGAAAAAAAGGACCAGTTTCTCCTTGGTGTGGAATACCTTACTCCTTAGTCCTCTCGGGTTCTCCCTCCTTTCACCTTTAAAGTGAAGGATTGGTATGGGACTCTTCCCTTATGGTGGTGAATCAGAACTCTGGCCATCGCTTTTTGATAATCCAGCCAGTACTGTTCCTGTGATGACTCAGAGATATGTACAGTAATGGTACCAAGATTCTGAGACAGGTAAGGCATCCTTAACACAAGGAACTACATCAGAGAGAGCCCATGGGATTCAGCTGCCCGCTTTCAGATTTTATGCAGTCGTTGATCAAAAAACACATGATGAGGGTAACGTTCTTTCCATCTTTGCTTTTAAACTGAGTTCTTACTGTAGTGGTTTTTGCCATACATTTAAAAAAAAGAAAAAAGTTTAAAAAGAAACAAACGGAATTCTTCACTCTGGGCAGATGGCATAATTTGTTCAAGGCAGCAAAGACTTGGGCTCTGAATAGCAACTTGTCTTTGAAGGAATAATGGGGCTGGTGTTGATGTCTGCCTTTAATCTCAATTTAAATATTATTTGTTGATAGGCTTTTGCTTCCATGTCCATATTCCCCCCCCCCTTTTTTTTTCTTTAATTTTTACTTTTTGGCTGTTCCATGTGGAATGTGGGATTCGAGCTCCCCACCAGGAATCAAACCTGAGCCTCACGTGTTGGATGCGTGGAGTCCTAAACACTGGATCACCAGGGAAGTCCCTCAACGTCCATATTCCTTAATGGTACAGATAATCTTCATGACCCAGAAATTCAATATGGTGAAACGTGAAAGAGGAGTTTGTACATATAGGTATGTATTCAACATGATATCTATCAACTAAATTAAAAGAATACATGTAAATCAACTATACTTCAATAAAGAAATTTTTTTAAAGAATAGGAGATGAATAGGAGAGCTAAATTATTATGACAGTTACACACCATCTACCCTCACCTGTACTTTTTTTTTTTTTTTTGATCAGCAGAGAAATAGGAGAGACCAGCTTGAGCTGGTATTGTGCTTGTTACGAGTGAGCTTAGAAGCACATTGTGTGGTATTTCCCGTGGTATCCAGGCTCTGCGGAGTCCAGATGGTATTGCTATCTGGGCTTACCTGAGCCACACTGTGTTCAGATAATATCATGCCCTTACTTGTGGTGTTTTACCAGCTAAATTCCAAACACATAATGATTTTCTTCATCCCTTCTTTAACTAGCTGCCTTTAGATCTGTATAATCACCTAGGAAAGAAGTGGATGGGAATTGTAGACATAGATATTATATCAGGAGCATTTCAAGACAGAATTTTTCTTTCCTATAGCAGGCTTGTTGGAGCAAAGGAAATGTGCTGCTAAAAATCAGATTATGCCTTTTTAAAATTAGACAAAATACAGAGTGCCATCCTGCTTGGTATATGCAGACCAGAAGAAAATTTATTTGGGGAAGTACTTGTTTTTCCAGATTCTGGTGTTCTATTAAAATCAAAGAGGAGAAAAGGAAGATTGTTTTTTTTTCTCTCAGGCTCTAATATATTTTAGATTTGTTTCTGTTTTATAGATTTATCCAACACTCCCACATAGATATTTTTATATTACATGAATTTAATAATGAGCTAAACTTAATTGTTCTCTGTTGTTAAAGTGTACCAAAGCCTTTTGCTGTTTGGTTTTGTTTGTTTTTTTAATTTGATTCTGCTATATAGGGTTTTGCTTTTTCTACAGATGCTTTTCATTTAATATCTTTTCTAAAGTGTCAAGACCCACTTTGATCTGCAAAATTATTGTTTTTAGATTTCAATTTGTATGCATTTGTCTCTAAAGGCATTGGTGAAATCTCAGATTTTATATTCAGCATTAAAGAGGAATAAATTCCAGAAAACAAACAAACAAAAAAAAATAAAGAATATGTGGATCCCTTGGCTGATGTCCTTCATAGGACTCCTTCATTTGTTGTTACTTTTCTCACTGTTCTCTCTTCTTTCACCCCTATAATTCTGCTCATTTCCAAAGGTGTTTGGGCATTGTCCCCGCCATTAGAAAATATGGGGAAGGAGGACTGGCAGAAATTGGCTGATGTGGGCTTTTTTAAAAAATTATTTATTTATTTGGCTGCACCACACCACACAGAGAAGTGTGGAGTCTTAACTACTGGACAGCCAGAGAGGTCCTGATGCAGACTTTTTTATAGCTTCAGTGGTCGAAGTAGTATTAGATGTATAATACAGTTTTAGGATAATCCTCAAATTTAGGAAGGTGTCCCCCTCTCTACTAGATCTTAGATTTGCTCCATCTCATTAAGAAGGAGCTGCAACAATTACCCTACTCTCTGAGCCTCCCACTCCTCTGTAGAATACGTTCTTTCTGTTCTCACCAACTGGTTCTGTTTGTTTGCCGGCCACATACAGTACTTACATCTAGTATTAATAACAAACCCTGACTTTTGCTAGAGAAAGGGACACTCTTTTGCCCACATATTGCATGTGATTTGAACAGGCTAACCTTAATCTAGTATTAATAACAAACCGGGACTTTTGGTAGAGAAAGGGACACTCTTTTGCCCACATATTGCATGTGATTTGAACAGGCTAAACTTAATCCCCGCCACACACCAGACAAATGGCCAAACTTGGCCAATAAAAATATGTTATACTTGCCTGGCCACTAGTTCAAGTAAGGCCATGTGACAAGCCAGGGGCAGTGAAAGCCCATCCATCCTACATATGAAGTCCTCCCAGAGACAACTGGAGAAAAACACTGAGCCTCTGAACTCAGTCCTGCTGAAGTGACACCTGCCACGGGGCTTTCAGTTTTATTAACTAATATGTTCTCATTGTTTATTTAAACAACTTTGAGTTATTTCCGACCCTCTGCAACAGAGTCCTGTCTATTCTTCTTCTCAGGAGACAAAAATCTCTTCCCTCAGCCCCAACACCACATACAAAGCACTCAACTTGATGAGTCAAAGCTGATCAAACTAAGAGCTTTTATAGATATCTCTGGAGGCATGGGGAGAGAAAGAGAGACAGGATATAAATAACCACTATGTACAACTTCCAATGGCAAAATTCTCTCTGTCACCCCTTCCAGCTTGAACTCCAAAGTGTCTGAAGCAGAGAGCACAAATTCTCCACGTGCTGATGGAGAGGGGCCAGGTCAAGCCTAGAAACAGAATAAGTAGGAAGCGTTAGAAAGGGTTGCCTCTGGGACTTCCCTGGATATCCAGTGGTTAAGAATCCAGGCTTTCAATGCCGGGGATCTGGGTTCCATCCATGAACCGGAACTAAGATCCCCCAAGCCAATGGGTAGGGCCAAAATAAGGGGGAGAGGGGCTGTCCTTTTGCCTCTCTTCCCTTTCTCCAGTGAGTTCAAATCAGTGGAGAAGCTCTAGCCTGAAGCTCCCCACCTCTTGAGGCCCAAAGGTCATCTAAAGAGAAGATGCCAAGGAGCTCAAAAGGACAGTAAAAGGGATGCAAACAGAACTAAATCAAGTCAAAACTGAGAAGTGGCCTTTAGAATCTTCCAGAGACTCTACCCACCCCCACCCAACCCCCATTTTACAGAGAAAGGGGATCTACAGCTAAAGCAGGGGCTGCCTCTGTCCACTGTGCCTAAAGTGCGCAGAGGGGGGAGAGGCGGGTTAACTACCTCCCGAGCATAGATGGAAGGAGCAGATATGACGTAAATCGAACGAGCGTCTCCATCTTCAGGGTGATTCCAGTCTGAGGACGGGCTACGGGGGAGAAAAGTAAGATCTAGACCCTTTAAATTCTCATATCCTGTTTTCCCACCCACCACAGAGAGGGTTTTGAACCCAAAGCCAACTAAGGGACTTGTGAAACTACCCAACCAGAAAAAGGCTGGGCAGAAATGGACCAATCAGGAAGGTCCATCAAGGACTCAGGCCAATTGCACCACAGATTGACGAAAGCCGCCAAGGAGCACAAGGCTTACGTCTGCGAGCCTCTCACCTCGGGCCGTCCCCGGGACCTTCCTGCATCCTCACGTTGTTGAGTGCATCAGGGAGCGCGTGGACCGACGGCTCCGGGGTCCCCGCCAACAAACGAGGCCCAGTATCCCGGCTAGGGCCACGGCGTCGCACGTGGACCAGCAAGAGCGCAGCGCCGGCCAAGCCCGCGGCCACCAGCAGTCCCAAAGCCGGCGGCAAAAGGAAGCGCTGTGCGTCCCCCTGTCTCAGGCCGGGCTGGGCCGCGGGCAATGTGCCCGCGCCGTCGGGGTGAACCGGGAACTCGCACCGCGCGCCCATGTAGCCCGGCGCGCAGGCGCAGACGAGGCCGGAGAAGTGCGCGTAGCAGCGGCCGCCGTGGGCGCAGGGGCGCGCGGCACACGGGTCGGCGCGCTCCCGACAGTCGCGGCCGCCGAAGCCCAGCGCGCAGGAGCAGCGGCGCGCGCCGCCGCCCTCCAGGCAGGTGCCGCCGTTGGCGCAGGTGTGGCCGGTGCAGTCTTCCAGGTCGTGCTCGCAGCGCGGCCCCGCGAAGCCGGCGCGGCAGCGGCAGCGGAGGGCGTGGCCCAGATCCAAGCAGAGTCCGCCTGTGGGGAAGGGAGCGTCAGGGTAGCGGCTCCCCCAACCCGCCCGCGCTTCTTTTTCTCAGCTCGGAAATCCCTGCCCCCACCCCTTCTCTGGGCCCCTCTATCTTGTTTAATTCAAGGGCTCTGGGAGTTTGCCTGGAAAGCCGGCCCGCCTCCTTTTCCCCCGAGTGGTTTTGGATTGACTGAGCCTCACACCTCTTTAGTTCTGTGTTTCTTGTCTTTTGTCCCAGCTTTACCATACTGAAATAGTTCACAGTTCCAGAACGACGGGTCTGGACCACCTTGCCTTTGCCCACGCCTCCTCCTCCCCTTTCTCTTCTTTTCTCCCATTCTTTTCCCCTGCTCTTTTCTCAGGTGCACTCAGCGCCCCCTCCTCCAGGAAGCCATCCCTGATTCTTCATCCATCCCAGCTCTGCGCTCCCTTAGCCACTGTTGGCTCTGTCTGAGGACGACTCTGTCTTCCCCTCTGGACTGATACCCCTCTGAGGACAGAGCCCAGAGCTGTCCTGGTCACTACTGTGTCCCCAGTACCACTCAGCCCAGAGTAAACACACTCAATGAGTGTTTTGGAGAGCAGTAGGCTTCTAATAGGCTTCCCTGGTGGCTCAGTTCGGGAAGATCCTCTGGAAAAGGAAATGGCAACCCACTCCAGTATTCTTGCCTGGGGAATCCCAGGGACAGTGGAGCCTAGCGGGCTACAGACCATGGGGTCACCGAAAATCCGACATGATTTAGCGACTAAACAAAAAGTATTATAAGAAGAAGAGCTCGCTGAGCCCTTCACATTCATGATCTCCTTTAATGTTGTAATGTCTATATCAAATCAGGTCTCTCCACTGTTCAGTACCCTCCTGTGGCTCCGTCTCCCTCAGGGTAACACCAAAATCCTCCCGTAACCCATGAAGCCCTACAGGCTCTGTCCCCGTCACCTCCCTGACCTCACTCTCCCGTCACTCACTCTGCTCCAACCACACTCGCTTCCCCACAGTCCTCAGCACACCAGGCACATTCCTGCCTCAGGGTCTTTGCACGTGCTCATCCCTCCTCCTGGAATATACTCTTCCCTCAGACCCCCACATGACTCCCTCCCTCCCTTCAGCATGGCTTTCCCTACCCATTCTAGCTAAAATGTCAATCTGCCACCCATACACACTCCCCCTCTGGCTTTTTCTTCTTAGGTTTTTATCACCATCTAACCTTTATTTACTCATTGTATGTGTGTGTGAATGCAAAGTCGTTTCAGTCATGTGCGACCCCATGGACTGCAGCCTGCCAGGTTCCTCTGTCCATGGGATTCTCCAGGCAAGAATACTGGAGTGGGTTGCCATGCCCTCCTCCAGGGGATTTTCCTGACCCAGGGATCAAACCTGCGTCTCTTATGTCTACCTGCATTGACAGGTGGGTCCTTTACCACTCGCGCCACCGGGGAAGTTCCTCTATGAGGGTAGGGGTTTTCATCTCATTTCCTACTGTATTCCCAGAACAGGGCCTGACACGCAGTGTATGGTCAACAAAGATTTCTGAGATAGGAACGTCATCTCACCCGGTTCACAGAACAAACTGAGGCTGGGCAGCCAGGGGAGGATCACTTCCTCAGGCCTCAGGGCAAAGTCAGGTTCCCCACCCCCGCTCCCCCACTGCCCCGGGACTGCATGAGCCAGGCCCTTTTCTTGCCCACTGACTGTGCGGGGCCCCCACCTTCATCCCTCCCCGCTCTGCTCTCCCCACCTCACCGTTCCGGCAAGGCTGCAGGCTGCACCGGTCCACCCTCTTCTCACAGTTGGAGCCTTGGAAACCAGGCGGGCAGTGGCAGATATAGGCCGAGTCGGGGTCTGCGCCTCCCACACACAAGCCACCGTTGAAACAAGGTCCGTCCGCACAGGTCACCCCGCTCACCTCACACCGCAACCCGTAGAACCCTCGGGGACAGGTGCATTCAAAGGACCCCAGGGTCTCCTGGGCACAGGCAAGAAGACTTGGGGTCAGCATTCCCTTGGAGTGAAACCCTATCCCGCTCCTCACTCTGGGTCATTGGGGGGCTGCTCCCTGTCCAGTCCCACCTCCCAGGCAACAGAGGCCTCCTGGGGGAAGTCCCTGGGCCAAGACAACCCCTCTGTTCCGTGTTCCTGGGTCTGCCCATCCAGCCCCACAGAGGGGAGGCTCTGGAGGCCCAGAGAGACTCCATTCCCACCTCTATACCTTTGCTGATCAAATGCTGCCCGCCCTGTCTGTCCTCCCTGGTGCTGCCTGCATGGCCCAGGCCTAATTCCAGATCCTGGCTCTAAGCCCACCTCCTCCGTGAAGCCGTCCCTGGGTCTCCCCTTCTCACACCCTGCCTCTAACTTGAACTCTGTCACTGTCCCCCTCACTGAGCTCTGCTTCATCCCAGGCTCACCCCCACCACCACCTTTGCTTCCCCCAGGCCACTCATCTAGTCTAGCTTCTCCAATCACCCCCCATCCACCAAACTGGACTTCAGAAGCCCAGCCCCAGCCCATCTCCAGGAAGTCTTCTCTGATGCTCGCCCATCCCGAATCCTCAACCCACCTGGTCCCACCACCCTTACCTGAGCCCTGAGTTGTTCCCTAGCCCACAGGATCCCTCAGCACTCCCACATCCACCCCACTAGGTGCCACCCACTGGGCCTGCTCTCCCCAAGCCCCGTCACCTCATCCTACTTCAGGGCCCCAGATGCAGGCTGGAGACCTCCAGGAAGCCCTCCCTGATAGCTAGCCTCTCTGAGGCTGCTGAGTCATGGAGCCCCAAGCAGGGGACTCCCGAGTAAAGTATGGCCCAGGATGAGGTGGGAGGGTTGATACTGACACTACAGCTGCCCCCATTGGCACACGGGTTCCCATCACAGGGCCCAGGCCCAGGTACGAGGCATCCAGTGGTGGCAGATGATGGGCCCCTGGAGCTGAGGCAGCTGCTGCTGGAGACAGGGATCGTGCAGAGGGGCCCAGTCCAGCCCTCCAGGCATCGACACTCATCCGGCTGCTCACAGAAGCCATGCTCTGGGCTGCAGCCTGCTCGACACACTGCTGTGGGGGGGAAGGAGAGGCAGAGGGGAGAGGAATATTGATGAAGAGCAGAGTCAGGAGGATAGGAAATCAGAGATGATTCTGAGCACTTTCCCTGCATCCCTCGTTTGATCTTTGTGACTGACAATCCACTGGGCTACATGGTATTGAGACCCCCAGTTTACAGACAGGGAACCTGAGGCCCCAAGAGGTGGGGTGATTCACCCAGCAAGGAAGCAGTAGAGGGAGGATTTAAAACCCAGACCAATGAGTTCCAGAGTCTGTGCTCTTGGAAGGAGAATGGAGTGGAGGCTCCCAGGTCTGAGCCTGGAGAGAGAAGGAAGAAAGAAGATTGAGGAGGGACCCCCGGCCTTTCAGGGGAAATGGGAGGGCCTTGGATTAGGGCGGGTTTGGGAGGATATGGCAAGCCTGGGAGTTCTAGGGGCTCATACATTGGGGTATCCAGGTAGGTGGGGATCCCAAGCTTTAGAACACAGTGGGGTCTGGAGTGCAATCGCAGGGAGCGGGGATTGGTGGGGCAGGGCGGCGGGGGAATGGGAGGAGCTTCCCAAGTTCCTGAGTAGAAGTAGGAAAGCCCCAGAATTAGAAGAGCTTTGGGGTCCGAGCATCGGGAAAGGGGTGTGAGTATGGATTAGGGGAGGAACTGGGGGTACAAGATGGGAAATGGGTGTGGGGTTCCAACTGGGGGAGACGAGTACTGGGAAGAGGGAACGGGGCTGGAGTGTCCAGGCAGGGCTTTCCCTGAAGGTGGTAGCTGGATCCTGGGAGCGGGCTGAAGACTCTGAATGGAACTGGGGAGGGGTTCTCGGGTCCCCAGTTCCCTGAAGCGGGTAACCAGGTTGTGAAAGGGGCCTGGGGGCCGTGACGGGATGGGGTGGGGTTGAACGCAGGACTCACGCGGTGCCTCGCACTCGTCCTCAACGGGCGCGCAGGGGCGCAGTTCCGGGTCACATCGCAAGGGGGCGCCACGCGAGCGGCAGAGGCGCGCGCACGCAGCCCCGACGGCCGGCGGCTCGCAGCGCGCACGGTAGGAGAAGCGCAGCTCCCAGGTGCCTGCGCGCTGCATGTCCCGGGTCCATGGGCCGCCGGCCACCAGGCGACGCCGGCCCGCCACGCGCGCCAGCAGGCTCCAGGCGGGACCTTCGGGAAGAAGGGAGATGTGCTGGGGTGCGGCCCGACTCAGTCTCAGGTTGGAGACGAAGGGCGCAGGCTCGCACTCTCCTTGCCCATCTCAAGGAGGTCAAAACACGCCTTTTGAGTCCTGAGGATGAGTTACTCAGCAAGGCTGCAAACTCCGCCAGTGCGCCCTGGGAATCTTTGATGACGCAATCCCGATGACAATCATGATGATAACGGTTCTCCCGAAGCTGAAATGCCCCTGTATTTTGCCCTGGGATCTTTGTACATTAAAGTAAAGAGACCTCTTAACCACCCTGGGACGTATGATACCCCTTTATGGCCAAGGGACAATGACAGTCTTTGAGGTGAGGTCAAAACACCTCCAAATTGTGTCTCAGGATCTTCTTATATGAAAATGGTGACAGAACCCCCACTGTGGGTCTTATATAGCACCAGAGATCCCCTCCAATTAAGGTTAAGATCATCCATCGTCCCTCCCTGAAACCTGTCTGGTGAAACTGCAACGTCCCAAAGAGCTCCTGGGGCCCTCTATGTGGACAAGGTGACAGAGCTTTACACACAAGAACGAGAAAGTAACTCATATTGGACCCTGGGTTCTCAAAATCAGATGGTGACAGAACAGGACTGTTATATCCTGGTCCACTGACTCAATTTCAAGAGAGTAAGAGAGCTTCCCCCGACCCCCAACCCACTTTGTCTGATGTCAGGACATTTCTGTATCGACATGCCAAGAGTCCTGGGGCTGTCAACACCCTGCAGCACACTCCAGAACTGTGATGACACCATGGGGGCAGCAATTCTGTGAACACCCCACTCTATGGACAGCCCAATATCACTCTCCTTGACCTCACATCATGCCCCAACTCCCTGGAGCCCCCACACTCTACAGCAAAGACCCAGAACTGAAGACACTCACCTCCAATCTGTCCACCTAACTCCTCTCTCCAGGTTTCGATGATGAGAGAGAAGGTGCCCTGGTTGGGTGGAGGAAGGTGGGAGGAAAGAATGAAGACAGTGGTCAGGGCAGGTACTGGTCAAGGTCAGACTTTAGGGGTAAAGAGTGATGACCTTGCTGGATGCAAGACTTGGATAGGACAATTCCCAGGGGGACTGGCCCAGGAAAGGAACGACTATTTTGGCTGTCTTTATTGAGCATTGCAAGGACTGATGTTGAAGTTCCAATACTTTGGCCACCTGATACGAAGAGCTGACTCATTGGAAAAGACCCTGATGCTGGGAAAGATTGAAGGCAGGAGGAGAAGGGGATGACCGAGGATGAGATGGTTGGATGGCATCACCTCAATAGACATGAATTTGAGCAAACTCTGGGATAAGGTGAAGGACGGAAGCTTGGTGTGCTGCAGTCCATGGGGTCGCAAAGAGGCAGACACAGCTGAGTGACTGCACGATAACAATTGAGCACTCACTATGTAGGAAGCACTATACTCAAGATACCTAGTTGAATCCCTCAAAAAGGACCGCTATGATGTACCGTGATGGTCCGCTGTTTAACAGATGAGGGAGCTGAGGCTGGAAAAGAGAAACTCTCTTCCCTAAAAGGACAAGGGTCTAGAATTTAAAAAAAGAAAGAAAAAAACCTGTGTTCGCCTCTATGCTTTGGGGGTTGTGGGGTGGGAAATAGGATTTTGGAGGTGAAAAAGTCATGGATTCAGGCCCCAACTGAAAACTGTGAGATAAGGTGAGAAGATATTGGGGGTACCCAAGGCAGAGTGTAGAAGGGTCCCCAGGTGCAAGGAAATTTGGGTATAAAAATTAGGATCCCAGTGTTTAGGGATCCCTGAGGAACATGGGGAGGGTTCTGTGAATTGAGAATTTCCAGAAGATGAGCATGGTGTTCTGGAAATTCGGGTTTCCAGATATGGGTGGGGGGAGGGTGGATTTGGGATCCCTAGAGGGCAAGTTGGAGTCAGAAAAGTGGGTCGCAAAGAGTCGGACACAGCTTAGCTACTGAGTATGCACGCATGGGCAGGGTTTCTGCGTGTGAGAATGTGGAATTCGAGACAGCGGTACTGGAAATTTGGAATCCCAGGAGGGCAAGGTGTTGGAAGTTGGAGGGCAGATGGCAGCCGAGGTTCTGGTGAGGCCCCCACACGGAAATGCCCCGGGGCTGGGTCTCACCGGCCAGGCGTCCCGGAAGGGCACGCGCAGGAGGCCGTCAGGCAGCCGCAGTTCAGGCGCTGGAGCTCCAGGTTGCGCAGTGTAGACCGGTCCGCGCGCACTCAGCGCCGCGCCCAGGGTGCACGGAGCCTCGGCGGTCTCCTCGGAGAGCCCTGGCTTCAGGCAGACCCTGAAGAAGAGACGGCAGGAGCCCCCGGCCTTGCAGGGGGACCGCGGGGCGCCCGGACCTGGTCCCGGCCCGAAAGAGTGGATCTGCAGCTCGAAGACGCCGGCCGGCTGTACCTGGGGCGGAGAGGGGAACCGCGTGAGGGGGACCGGGGGGAACCAGGCGTCTCATCCGCCCCGCGCCCCATCCCCAAGACCCCCGGGTCTCCCTCCCTCCCATCCCCCCTTTCCACTTCGGCTCTGACCTGGGGAAGGAAAAAGAGCGCCAGGATCACCGTCGAGGAGAGGAGCTGGGGCATCTGCGGGGCGACCATGGCCTTTCAGGGGGCCTTGGGAGCCGCAGCTGCGGGCTCCGGAGCCTTATATCTGAGAGGACGGCTCCGCCCCTTCGGGCAGCAGCGGGCTTCGGGGGACCCCAGGGGAGGAGGTCGCAGGGGAAGGAGAGCAGCGCGCTGGAGCTACAGTGAGATCCTGTCCTGGCCACAATGTAGTGAGTGTGTAATCTTACATGCCGTTGTGGGCACAACCTTGTGTGACTGAGGACAGGGTGGGGTTGGGGGTTAAGCTCGTGTGTCAGGTTGGGTATGATTTTAAGGCTCAGTAAGTATGTGTGTGGTGTGAGAGCTACAGGAAGAAGAGGGTACACGTGATTGTGTTTGGGTGTCTAGGTGAGATTGTGTAGCTCCACGTGTGCCTGAAACTGTATGGTTAAACCTCTTCGCGAAGTCGTAAGTAATTCTAAGATTGTGTGTTCGGTGGGGGTAGGCGTGGGGGTGGTCGCATGCACACAGCTGCATGGGAGAATGACGACGACCATGATCTCATGGTTGTGTGACTTTCTGAGATTGCCGTGGCTGTGTAGATGCGTGAATGTGAGCTCCTGTGTAGATGTAGGAACCTGTGACTTTGTGGTCTGTGCAGGTGCCTCTAGGTGGCTGTGTTTGTGTACATGGTAAGGTCTGCGCGAGGCTGTGGACGACTGAGGCTTTGTGTGTGCAGGAGTCTGGGTGTGGAAGGTCCAGGGGTGTATGTAGCCCTGTGTGGATGAAGATCCAGCGTTCTTTGTGGACCTCTGTGTGCGTGTGTGTGCCTGCATGCTCGAGTATGTTCCCCTCCCCAAAACAAAGCCACCCTCCCAATCTCCCCCCCCCCCATCACAGACGCACCAGACGCCCAGGCGAGGATCCCCCGCCCCAGAGGGGACTCCCAGCTGTATGTAAATGCCGCCATCTGCCGGGCGGCCGCGCCCCTCCCCCTTCGGGCCGCAGCTGGGCTGCCCGTTTGGCCTCCGGAAGGTGTGAGCAGCAAATGGGCAGGAAATTCTGTCCTCGCGGATCAGGGGCCCGCTCCCTCCACTCTAGGATGAATGGAAGAGGGGGCCACCCCCGCGCCCTCCAGAAGCCCCTTAGTGTTCCAGGACGTCCGCAAGGCCAGCCAGTTAGAGCAGATGTTCCAGCCCGCTGGCCATAGTCATTTCACTCCGTGCCAGGTGCTGGGCAAAGCCCTTTAGATGTAGTAAACTACCCCCTCCCCCTTCCGCCTCCCAGAATTAAAAAAAAAAAAAAAAAATCCTACTTAGAGGCTAATAATTAAAAAGGAAAATACAAGTTCAGTTATATACGTACATATTTTTCTTTTGGAAAAGATGCTCAATCCAGCACAGCTCAGTAGAGCCAGGCATACAGTGAGGGATCTGTCATTTTTAATGAATGAAAGAACTCAATCTAAATAGTTTGCTTGTCATCCTGAGGATGGAAGTCATGGGACGATTCTGGGCGGGGAGGGCCATGGTCAATTGTGCAGAAGATCCCAGCTTTCTTTGCACAGATTTTCCTTCTACTTGTATATGCTTTCCACTTCCTTCTTTCTTTAATTCTGTTCTTACCAATCAGACTTCTCCTTCTGTAGGAGGCCTTTCCTAACACTCCCCAAGGGGGTCAGGCACCTCTTCTGAGTTCCCACAGCCCCACTCCCCCCATATCTCCTCTATGCCAGCCCCGACCACTGTGGCTAATAAGGTCTTTCTAAGCACACATCTGACCATGGCCCCTCCTACATAGACTCTTCCATGGCTCCCCAGTGCCTTCAGACTTCTGAGATCCCCCGATGGTTCAGATGGTAAAGAATCCGCCTGCAGTGCAGGAGACCTGGGTTTGAGGGAGTGGCTACTCACTCCAGTATCTTGCCTGGAGAGTCCCATGGACAAAGGAGCCTGGCAAGTCCATGGGACTGCAAAGGATTGGACATGACTGAGTGACTGACACGTTCCCCATACTCAACAAGTTCTGTGGCCCGGAAGCCATAGAACCTTGTGGATCACAGAGAGTTATTGGGAGGCAAATCAGGCCCTCTTCTGGGATAGGTAGAGCAGTAAGCGTCCCATCATAGGAGATATTCACATGGAGTTTGGACAGCCGTTAGCTGTTGGAGAAGGCTAATTCCTGCCCTGAATCATAACTGGGAAAGGTAACAGATTCCAGGTCTGATACAGCTCAAAAATTTTAAAGATTGTAAAAATTGCCAGCCTTTATTGAGGGCTTGTGCCAGGCATGTTTCCTGTGAACTTAGGTCTACATGTGTACTTTAAGGGCTTTCCAAGCATCTTCTTGGCTATTTAGGACTCTCCCTTATGTGCCCACCTTAGAGCCCACAGAAAGCCATGCTGAAGTGACATCTGAGCAAAGACCTAAAGGAGGGAAAGGAGTGAGCCCTATGGATCTCAGAAAAAAAGTTCAGGAAAACAGAATAGCAAGTGCAAAGGCCCTGGGGTGACCATGCCTGGCACAAATCTCTCCATGGTTTGCTTCATTTCATTCTGATCTCTGCTCAAATACACCCTTCCAGGAGGCCTTCCCTGACTGTTCCATTTAATCTAAAACAGTACTACAGTCCCCAAACCACTCTATCTCCTTATTATACTTTTCTTTATGCACTTATTGTACCCCAAGCAATCAGACCATTTTCTGTCTCCTCCATGAAAACATCACCTCGGGAGCAGAGCTTTTTCTGTATAATTTGTTCACTGATGCACCCTTGTGCCTAAAATGAGGCCTGGCAGTTGGTACTTATATTTGCTGAAGTCCTATTATTACCCTCTTATAAATGAGCAAGCTGAGACCTTGCCCAGGGTCACATGGCTTGTGAGTGGTGTGCAACCTGGGAATTCTGCCCTACCGTTGGCCCAGACCTGCCCACTGAAGGATGCCCTGATGCCCCAGCATTTAATATTAACACCCAAGGCCACATCATCGCATAAGCAGTGTCTCCTGGCAGAGACCACCTGGCACAAGTCAAATGCCCTCTCCTCCCTTCCAGCTTTGAGCAGGTGTGACCTGACCACACCATCCCCAAACCAGCACAGCGGTGGGGAAAACGCCTGGGAGAATCCACTGGACTGAAGCACTACCCAGAGTGCTAGCCCTAATTCCCAGGGGCTACAGGCCAATGAACAGAGGTACTTTCTCCTTTCATGCCCCGTGAGTGAACACATCCGAGTCTTTGTTCAGAAGGTTCCGTGTGTCACCTCCTGTGGTAGGTGAACATTCACTTGCAATGGCTCCCTCTGTCCACAATCCACTCTCCCCAGGATCATGAGCCCCAAATATGTTGCATTCAGTTAGGAGTTTCCAACTCTCAGAGCTACGTGCAAAAACACAAGCTTTGCAGATGCCCTCAAGCTTGGGTGTCCTGGATTTTGGGCAACTCTGTTGGATTACAAATGGTATATCTCATGGTAACACTTCCAGGTGGGGATGGGGAATTGCAATTTTTAATTCTTTATAGGTATCTGTGAGCTTTAAAAAAAAAATCTATTAGAGTTCAGAAGTTCAATCTGGCCTGCACAGTTTCAAATACATTTTAATTATTTTAACAAATACCAGGGAAGGGCATTCTGAAAGTATTTAGTATTGGCACTAAATGCTGGCTGGAGCAGGCTAGGACAGACGGCGGGTGGGGGGGGACTGCCAAGATGGTACAGGATAGTTCAGTCTGTGAAGAACCAATATGGCCTGGCAACAATAAGCTCCGTTGAACATACATACAGCCTGAGCATAAGCTGTCTCCCTACTCCTCACGACCACACTACTGAGACAGGTGTTACCATCGCCCCCATTTTAGAGCTGAGGAAAGGGAGGCAGAAAGGTGCTTCCAAGGTTCTCACAGCTACCATCTGAGTGTCTATGTGGAGGGTCTCAGTCCACCCTCAAGCCTAGCCTGTGAGGTAGGTACTAGTATTCACAGATGTGGAAATTGAGGCACTGAACAGACGTTAACTTGCTCATTTGCTTGTGACCACACAAGTCAGGCAGTGGTAGGGCCTAGATCTGAACTTGGATTGGGGTATTATTTCAGAGTCTGGAGGGACTTCCCTGACTGTCCAGTGGTTGAGACTCTGTGCTTCCAAAGACAAAGTGTGGAATTCACACTCTTAAACGATACCCAAATGTGCTGTCCAATGCAGGAGCCAGGAGCCGCAGGTGGCTATTTATTTAAAAAGAAACAAAATTAAGAATCTCATCCAAAAAAAAAAAAGAATCTCATCCTTCAGTTATCCTCGCCGCATCTCAAGTCCGTCATGGTCCCATGGCCCCTGGCAGCTGCACTGGACAGTACATGGGATAAACATGGTGGAAAGTTCCACTGCAGAGTTCTGCTACAGTCGGTTTGTTAGGAGCCAACATTTTAAAACTGAGAGATTTAACATAAACATCCGCTTTCCTGGCTTCTACTAAAAAATCAGAGGATCAAGCAACTCCAGGCCCACTCCAGGGCCCCAGCCAGGCAGCAGTTGCCCCCTTGACATGAGGCATCTCTGGTCCAAGGTGCCCCAAAAGCCCACATTTGATACATTTACGCAGTAGCCTGGTGGCTCCATCTTCCAAGCCCACAGCGCCGTCCTCTCTTCTTTTTCTGTAGGGAATCTGGGGCCAAAGAGGGAGACACACTTGCGCAGACCACACGGCACACAGGAAGACGCAGACAGGGCAGGGTCCTGCCCAGGGTTTCAGATTCCCAGGCCAGGCTCAAAGACCAACCCTGATCCACCAGAGCACCCACTCTGTGCTCGGCAGCTGATCAGCCACTGTGGGACGAGGTCCCCCCCTGTCCCGCACTGCACCCTGACGCGCCCATCGGGAGACCCTTGGGACACTGGAGTGTGGCGTCTGGGATTAACTTTATTGGACATGTGGTTGCCCAAGCCATGGTCTGGGAGCACTGGGCCTCGGCCTGGAACCCAGGCACTGAGTTTGCGGAGGCCCAGAGGTCAGGGCTGTTTGGAGCGAGGCCACAAGCGGCTGGTGAGAGAGCTGAAGAAGAGATTCTGCTTGCTGGATTTGGAGAGCTCGGCCAGGCGCTGCTGTTCTTCCTGGAGTTGGGGGCAGAGAGAGAGGAGAGTCAGCCTGAGGGCCACCTCCTTCCTTAAACCTCTGCCCAGCCCAGACTCCTTTACCCACAATCTCAGAACACCAGCCCAGACACAGGATGAGGCCAGGCTGCAAAGACTGCGGTCAGACACTAGGAAAGCCAGCTGCGAGCCACAGAAGCCCAGACTCAAACCCCAGGTACTCTCACGATCCCCGTCCCCTGAACCCTGGGCACCTAGCCCAGGCCCCACCCTGATGACATCATCTTGCTCCCTGAGCCCTAAGACCCCTGTCTGGATGCTAAAGGATGCCAGGCCCAAATCTCCAGGGATCCCCCCCTTTGTGCCCTCAGGTGCACCAGCCAGGAACACAACCCCAAACCTGGACAACCTGAGCCTAGACGCCTGGGAATCTCTTTCTCAATCTATATTCTTAGCCCCATCTACAAATGATGAGGATCACACCAAGGTCATCAGAACTTGCCCAAACCTCGGGCCAAGTGTCCAAGGATCCCTCTTCCCAGACCTGATCCAAACCCCCACCCCACAAAATACTAGGGCCCCCAGAACATCAAGGTCTCTGAAAAGAGAGACCAAAGTGTTAGTTGCTCAGTTGTATCCAACTCTGCTACCCCATGGACTGGAGCCCACCAGGCTCCTCTGTCCATGGAATTCTCCAGGCAAGAATACTGGGGTGGGTTGCCATTCCTTCCTCCAGGGGATCTTCCTGACCCAGAGATCAAACTGGGTCTCCTGCATTGCAGGCAGATTCTTTACCATCTGAGCCACCAGGGAAACCCTCAAGGTCTCTGGACCTATTGCATTTCCTGCCTCCTGTCCTCAGAGTAGGCTATAGGATCTATTCAACCCTCATTACAAGGGCCTTCTGGAATGGGTGGTGTGGAAGAGAAGGCCCTTGTAATGAAGTCACACAGCCAGAGTGGAGACAGGTTGCTTAGGGCTCCTCCATCAAGAGCCTGGGGAGCTGATGGGACATCCCCCACCAACAGTGGGGATCTGAGCACCCACCTGCTCTAGCCGGCTTTGCCGCTGTTTGAAAGCCTCCAGTGGGTCTTCCTCCAGGGCGTAGTGCTCCAGCACAGTTCGAACATCCTCCACACCATTCAAAGCAATGGCTGTGGACACAGCAGGTGGGGTTCAGCCAGGCTGAAGGCCAGAGGGAGGTGGGGCCCACAAGGGTAAAGGCCAGACTTGGGCGGGGCGGTTGGAGTTACATGCACCCTTCTCAGTAGCCTAAAAGGGCTCCCCCTGAACATTCCTGGGCATCCTCTAACCATTCCAGAAGAGCATCCCCAACATTCTAGGAAGCTTCTAAAGACTGCAAGATGCTTATGGACCTCCTGCATCTTAAATCCCCAGTTTTCCATAAAAAACAAGCCAGGATCAAGCATCGATCATTCCTCTTGGGGTCAAGGGCTTCAGGGTCAGAGGCCAGGAGGTCAGGGGTCAGTCTCACTCTTGAGGAAGGCAGACAGGTCCAATAAGACCCGGTCATCAGAGTTGCCATCCCAGGGCCGCAGGGCGACGCCGTTGTAGGGCTGTAGGCGGAACGCTTCCTTCTTGCAGTCCACGACTACTACTCGGGCCGGGTCCCGATTCAGACACGAAATGTCCTGGAAGTGGGTGAAAGGTCAGGTCAAGGCCTGTGCTCCTTCTCTTCCAGGCAGGAAACCAAAGAGGGGGAGAGAGGCAGACAGACAGACCACACACACACTGAGAGCACCACAAAAGGGCCTCTCAAAGACCAGGCTGGGATGATGACACCCAACCTCCCAGGGAGTGGGGAGCAAGTCATACAGGCTCCTGGACCAGAGGCTGGGCACACAGACAGGTTGATTTGGAGGTTTCCTGGGAGGGAAGTGGGCACTTGTGCATTTAACCACAGACCCCTGGGGTTTGTGACAGGGTGCAAGTTTGTGAACCTCTCACAGGTAGAGGTGCAGACTGCTCCACAGCAACACACATGGAGTCACACGAAGACAGGCACCCACACAGACCCTTTGAGAGCCTCTATTACAACCCATGTCCCTCCGAACCTTGAAAAACTCCAGACCCCTAGACCCACCAAGACAGTCAGAAACCCAACAGACATCAAGATGCATGGGTATTCGGACAACAACCCAAAAAGAGGCCCAATTCACAGCCCCACAGACTCCTGGACCCCTACCACCAGTCACAGTAACAGATCCCAAGTCAAACAAGCGCCAGCCTTCCCCCAAATCCCAGAGGCCCACCATGGCCCCCACACGGCACCTTAACATGGTGCCCATCCATGTATCTCGTGGCGTCCCGGAAGAGGCGGTAAGAGATGAAGCCATGGGGGTCCACGCTGTCGATGAGTGGAAAGGCAGTCTGGGGGTGGCACATGGGGGTGGGAAGAACAAGGTCAGGTTGAGCCCTGGCCTTGTAGCTCTCCCTCACCTCTTACCATGTCAACCACCCCATCCCAGCCCCGGGCCCTTACCATGCCAGTCTCCGATGTAAAGATGACGATTTCATACAAAGGAGCGAGCTGCTGGAATAAGGTCTCGATGCCTGGACGCTTCTTAAACCTCCAGCCAGTGGCTAGCTGGAAATGCAGTGAGAACAGGGATACACTGAGACCCAGAGCCTTCTCTCCCATCTCTGTGGCTCGTGGAGGGATTCACGGGCACAGGGCTGCAACTGAGGCTCTAGGAGTTTGCAGGATCTGGGTCCCCCAGTAACAGCCGACTCCCCTCTAGCACTGACTGTGTGCCCAGGGACACTTGCAATCACTACGGGCGGGGAAGCGGCACAGGGGAGGAAAGCAAGGCCAGGAGGGATGACACCTCCTCCCCAAGACCGCAGAGCAGGATGGGGGCTGCACCCCAGCCTGGCTCCAGCATCTATACTCTTGACCATGTTACCACAAGCAGCCGCCTAGGCCTATGCGGTGTCCCCAACCCGCTGCTTTCCCCAAGACACACCGACCACTCAGGGTGCAAGAGGACGCCAGTGAGCTCCAAGACCAGTGTGTATGGCGGCTGGTAGTACGGCTCCCGCAGAGGGTCTGGGAGAAGGCAGGGGCTGGTGGGCTCGATGATCATCTGTGAAAAAGAGACCAGGTCTCGGCACTCAGACAAGGCGGGGGGGGGGGGGGGGGGGGGGGGGCGGTGGTGGGGGGGGGGTGGGCGGGGCTGCGGCCCAGGGCTCCTGCTCACCTGTCTGTAATCTTTGAAATATTTGTATGTCCGGCGCAACTGCTGTACCAGAATTGGATCTAGAACACCAGGGCAAAAAGGGATTCCAGGATAAGCTGCTGCTCAACCCCCTGGACAAACCAGGGGTTTATTTATCTACCAGATACAAACAGGCCTAAAACACCCACCTGGTTTGAAACAGCTCATTTCCAAGAACCAAGGCAAAAGGGAATGACATAACCCACTGCTGGGTAGGAACAAATGTTTTTATTCACCTGTCAAGTTTTAATCTGAATACTCATATCTACACATCACCCCAGGTATAAAATAGAATATTCTATCTGCCCACTTAAATCCCACATGTGTATAAATAAATCTGCTAACATTATGGCAGTATATTTTGTCAACTCTCAACCTCTAAGTCTCCAGGTGTGCCCACTTTAAGCATGTGGAATCTAGGTAAGCCACGATAAATATACACACACATCTACATGGGCTTCCCAGGTGGCACTAGTGGTACGTAAAGAACCCACCTCCGATGTAGGAGACATAAGAGACTCAGGTTCGATCCCTGGGTAGGGGAGATCCCCTGGAGGAGGACATGGCAACCCGCTCCAGCATTCTGGCCTGGAGAATTCCATTGACAGAGGAGTCTGGCGGGCTATAGTCCATAGGGTCGTAAAGAGTCGGACACAACTGAAGCGATGTAGCACGTCGTCTATATACTTTAAATTAGTTGGTTCTCAACTAAAAACACAATTTTATTCCTCGCTTCCCAGGAAACTTCACAATGTCTGGAGACATTTTTGATTGTTACAATACTGGCATCTAGTGGACAGACACCCAAGACACTGCTAAACATCCTACAATGCACAGGACACTCCCCTACGACAAAGAATTATATGACCCAAGGTATCAACACGGCTGAGGTGAGCAAACCCTGGTTTAAAGGAATACACCAAGTCCAGTTTAAAAGGGAAATCTTACATGACTCCCTATTTCAATACGGTATTTTTAGTGTAGTTAAACTACTATCTCTAGACCTGTCTTTTTGAAACCAAAATACTGAAACACCACTTAAGCTGTGAACACACACACTTTAAACCTACAGGTTTACCTGTTCACCTTAAACCAGTATGTTGACTTGTTTAAAATAGTATGACTCTACATCTGCCCAGTTAAAACATACTTACCTACCTGCCGAGTTTAAAACACCAACATAATAACGTGCCGGCTTGCAAACATCCCTAGCACAAACAAGTGGCTTTCTGGACCTACCAGTTTTATATTTCTCTTGGGAAGGACCAGGTGTGATAGAATTGGCAGCTCCCCTCTGCTATCCAATTTGTCAGAAACTCCCTAAAAGCTGGCTAATCAGAAGGTGGAGAGGGAGGAAGGAGGCATTGTTTTGGAAATGAGCTGGATGGGCTATGGCCTGGTGGGAAAGAGGCTGTCATAAAGACGGGGGTGAGGGGCTGCAGATGCTCAGATCTAAGGCACAAGAAGCCATGTGTCTGGCAGAGAAAGCCCAGTTCTCCCCCAAGCAGTCCCACCTACCCAGGATCCCCCTCCCCCACTGTCCCTGACCATCTGCTCCTGGGCTGAGGGGCCAGGGAAGGGGGATGGAGTTCTGTATGCCCCTCTCCCCCCAAGCCATACAGCTGCTGACTCCCCCACCTCCCAATGGAAGTGGGGGGCACCAAATGGGGAGGGCACAGTAGAGAGGATCAGGGGACCCCAGAATCTATGTTTGTATACTCACCGTTGTCGAATTCATCGGGAATCTGGGAGGTAGAGAGAAAAAAGAAGGGTTTGGGATGGCAGAGGCAGAGACCCCTATCACACCCAGACAAAGAATTGGGCTCTGGGAGGAGCAGGCAAAGGTCCCTGGGAGGGAGGGTTCACTCCAGACCAGAAAGGAGCCTGAACAGCCCAGATGGCAGGAGACCCACAGGATGCGACTCCTGGTAAGACCTCTGGGTGGGTCTCCCACTCACCTTGGCACCATTTTCATCCACAGAGTTGTTTCCTGCAAGGGAGATACTGATGAACGAGAAGCTTGAGGCCTGGTCTCCTGGGACTTATGGGAGGAAGAGGGCAGAGGGCCTAGCCTACTGGGTCTGAGGGAAGGGGGCTAGAGGCATGGTCTCCCCAGAGAGAGGAGGGGGCTGGTAGCCAGAATACCTGGGCCTCTGAGACCAGGAGGGCTGGGGCAAGGTCTCCTGGGTCTCTGAGGAATAAAGGGACTAGAGGGAAGACTGGAATTTTGGGTGCTGAGGGAAGAGGTAGCTTAGGGGGCTAGTCCAGACCTCTCCTTCCCCCTCTTCAAACTGACTCCCTATAGCTTAGTACAGGAACTAACTAGAAGGAGTAGAACCTTGAGTAGAGGGGTAGTAGGGGGACTTTCCTCATTTCCAAGCTCCAGTTGGCTGCCCTCCTGAGGGAGGAGCCAGAGAATGAAGATGGGTGAAGCCCTTAGAGGGAAGAGGGGGAAGTCCCCCCAGCAGAATAGAGGGCCAACAGAACATAATTGGGGGACAGGAATATGTTCCTCACCGAAGATATAGATGACGCTAACGGTCCCACCAGCCCCGAGCAGCCCAGCGAGCCAGAGTGCGACTTTTTTGGCATAGCTGGGACCCTCGGAGCTTCTCTGCTGCTGTGGTCCCTGGGTCTGGGCCTTAGTGCCTGCTCGGCTCCCAATCTCTGCAGCCTGCAATTGAGAAGGGGTAGGTTGGCCAAGAGAGGAGAGAAACAAGGTCAGGGTGGTTCCATCACCCTGGTCTGAGAAGAATCAAGGTAGAGAGCCAGGAAGAGGACACCCATATGGCCTCCAGGTGTTGTGTCCCTGGAGGGGCAGGCAGGAGACTGGGTCTCTCAGAAAGGTCAAGAACTAAACCGTCTGGCGCTAGGATCCCAGGGGTTCAAGAGATAACAAGCCCGGTGCCCAGGATCCTACAGGCCCGGAGCAGGGGTGGGGGAGCAGGGCAGGGAGATACGATCAGGGACCCTGACTGAACACTGACTAAAATTCTTGGAGCAAAGCACTGAAGGACACGCAAGAGGATAGGACGGGGACTTAAGTCCTCCGGACGTCTGGAGCTCACAGTAGCGGTGTATCGAGGGGGACGGATGGGAGGGGCAATCGCCTGCTGGGACTTGGGGAGCAGGGCACAGAAGTAATGAACCCGGAGGTCAGAAGGACAGGGTCACTGTCAAGATGGAGGGAGGTCGAATCAGAAACCCAAGCAACACCACCAACACCATGGTGGGGAAAATACCCGCGAGGCCAGGCTGGGACTCATGTCCCAGGCCCCTCCCCCTCAAGTATTACCTGGACAGTCACTGAGACAGGAGAACGGGTGACCCCTCCTTCCCCGGCGCCCACGTGGGGTCGAGAAGGTGGGGTCCAGATGAGGTGGGATCCAGAGGAGGTAAGGTTCAGAGGACACACTTGAGTCCCCAAGCATCTATCCCGGGGGAGCAAGCGCTGCCAACCCCAGGAAGCGGGGAAAAGACTCAAAACGCGGGTGGCGTTCCATTCAGCACCCTGAGGTGCTGCGTTCCAGAAGCTCCGGGTGGCCCCGGTCCGCCCGGAACTCCAGGAAGGAGCCTCAGCACCCGGGGGCCAACCCCATCCGGCTCACCTGGTCCGGGGCCCGGGGGGGCGGCGTCGCCAGCCTCGCACACAGCCCCCGCGCGCCTTGCCGGAGCCCGCTCCGCAATCGCAGGAACAGCGCCGCCGAGGCCGCCATCTTGCGCTGACGCCACTCGGCTCCGCCTCCTCACTGTCTCCTCCCCGCCCCGGGCCGGGGCCGCGACCAATGGTAATTCAGGGGCGGGGCGGGTGGACGGGAGCCGAGAGAGACAAAGGGCTGCGGGCGCTCCCGCTAGGACTGTGAGTCTGCTCAGGCCGGAGGGCGTTCCACCGCCCACGCCACAGGATGGGGCGGGACACCCACTGCCCGAGGTCAAGCGGAGGCCATAAGGAAGGGACCCAGTTGCTGCTGGATTTGTCCTAAAAACTAAAAGCCAGCTTCACACACCTTCCTCACGAGCGGCCGAGAGGTCTCATCCACCTTCCCTCCTCTTCTACCAAATCTTTCTTGCGTGAGTTTCTTAAACTGGGTCTGGAAAGTCAGTTTCTTGGAGGCTCAGCTAAACGAACAGCTAAGGGCTCGGGGTATTGAGAGGAAATTCGAGAATTAGAGGCTACGGGAGCCATGATGAATCTTCCACATGTAAATCACCATACAGCATTTAGAGATAAATACTAAGATAGTAAGGACTTCCCAGGTGGCTCAGTGGTAAAGAATCCGCCTGACAAGCTGGAGACGCAGGTTCCATCCATGGGTGGGGAAGATCCCCTGGAGATGGAAATGTCAACCCACTCCAGTATTCTTGCCTGGGAAATCCCATGGTCAGAGGAACCTGGGCTACAGTTCATGGGGTCGGTCACAAGAGTCAGGACTGAGCGACTAAACAACAGCAACAACTAAGGTAGTAAACATACGAAGTTAGGCGAAAGACACAGAATTTTAGGGTTGTGTTACTTCTGGAGGGGAATGGACTGGTCCTTCTTATCTGGTACACAGATGGCTCCTAAGTTGGGTGGTGGAGACATGGGTGCTCCTGACTTATCTTTTAAAACATTTGAACTATTTTAATATAATACAAGTTATATTACATTTGTAAAAAGACATGTGAACATCAAATGAGAAAAGTGAAGGTATTTAAAGTACTAAGCCCCATTCTCTCCACTTCTCCCCAGCCCCACCCAAGCCCTTAGACAAGCTACAGCGATTCTGATGTTACTGCTAGGTGGACTCAAGGGAAAGGACCATCAGATGCTGTAGCCTGCACCATAGGTCCTCCTATTTAGATTTGTGGAGGGATTGTTGTTCCGCCACTCAGTTGTGTCCCGACTCTGCGATTCCATGAACTGCAGCACGCCAGGTTTCCCTGTCCTTCACCATCTCTCGGAGCTTGCTCAAACTCATGTTCACTGAGTCAGTGATGGCATCCAACCATCTCGTCCCCTTCTCAATCTTTGTCAGCATTAGGGCCTTTTCTATTGAGTCGGCTCTTTGCATCAGGTGGCAAAAGTATTGGAGCTTCAGTTTTAGCATTCTGTTCTTCCAAACAATTGACTGGTTTGATCTCCTCGCTGTGGGATACTGACTGATTTTTCACTTAACTCAAGCATGAGTTAGATGTAACTTTGTCAAGCACATGGCAGTCTCTGTTCTAAAATCTCTGTCCAGTGTCTTCTCATACATTCAATAGTCTCTGGGGCAGGGAGTATCATTTCCTAGCTGAGATGAGTTCAGTCGCTCAGTTGTGTCCAACTCTTTGCAACCCCATGGACTGCAGCACGCCAGGCCTCCCTGTCCATCACCAACTCCTGGAGTTTACTCAAACTCATGTCCATTGAGTAACATGAGGCTTAAGTATGACCATTATCTGCTGAAGACCCCACAGCAAGGTATTAAGTGGGGTCTGCAAGTGACCCCACTTACAAACCAGAACACAAACAGACAGGCCTTTTGACCAAACAGTTTTTTATTGAAAGACCGTGACACAAAAGCAAGCTGGAGGAGGTGGGGAATAAGAAGGTGGGGACCCTCCCCAGACTCTACTCAGATTCCCATGAATATCAGGGAGGGAGATAGGAACGCAGAAAGGAAAATAAAAGAAATCCTGAACCACCAGGCTAGCCCTGCTCCTGGCCCTGGATCCGGAGTCAGAGCCAAGGGCCAGGGAAGGAAAGAGGGATGCTCTCCATCTGCCAGATTATCTGCCAGAGTCCACCCTGCCTGCTTTTAGGCCTCCAGGAGCTTCCCCAGGAAGCGGAGGTTGAGGATCTTGAGCTGTTCATCAAGGTCCATGCGGACAATGCCATCCTCACCATCGATGCTCAGCAGGACACCTGTGGCTTCCCGATCCTCACCCAGGATCACCTTCACCTGGAGGGGGACAATACACAGGGTCAGGGGCCATGGCAGCAGCCCCATACCCCCATGTCCCCTTGCCCTCCCTTACCTTGTTGTTCTTGGTGGGGGTGATGGGCTCCAGGTGCTCACTGGAGATGCTGACGACCTTCTCACTGTCTTTCAGGTACACAGAGCACATGCCTCCCTGGGGGTGGGGAGAGCCTGGTCAGCCTGGCCAGCGCCCAACACAGGACTAATACTCCCCTGCCCTCAAGGGACACAGGATCAGGACTCATTCTAAGAAGTCACTTTCCCAAGGTGACACAGGGGCAGGAAAGGGGAAGGCTGGGCCTGGTTCCAAGGCCTGGGGTCTGTGGTGCAGAGGGGATGGGGGGGCAGGGTGATCAAACCAGCAAGAGAAGCATCTGCATGAAGCTAACTTAGGGCAAAAGGGAGACTGCTGCTCAGGCCCTTCACTCGTTTCCCACGCTGGCCTCAGCTTCTCCCTGACACTTGCTCCTCCTCCTGGGCCTCTGTCTCAAGGATGGCCCCGAGGTCCCTGGCCTGTCCATTTAGGCTCCTGAGGCTAAATTAGGCTCTCTCCCATCTCCCTCCTTCCCACAGCCCAGTAGTGCAACCTGACCTCCCCCTGGGCTCCCAGCCCCTGATCCAGTCTCACCACACCTGATCCGTCTATGACACAGCAACAAGTGAGTTAATTCCCAACCACACATCTGATTCCATCCCTGCTGAGATGCCCACCCACCAGTGTCCTCAGGACACAATCCAAGTTCTCCAGGCTGGCATGTAACCTGCTCCAGCCTCTCCTTTGGCCTCATGACTCACCTTCCCCCTTGACCCTTTAAGTTCCAGCCACAATGAATAGACTTCAATTCCCCACATGTGCCAGGTTTTCCCTCCCCTCCAGACTTCTGCACATGCCCTCTAGCTGGAGCACCCTCAACCCGCTCCCTGGCCATTTCCCTTGGCTTTCTCCTATTCTTTCTTCAGGTCTTGACGCAGACGTAACCTTCTCCCTGAAGCGCTCTGTGAACACTTATAACGTTGGGTAAGGTGCCTCCCCAGGGTTCACATAGCTCCCCTTTCACTCTGTGCTTCCCATATTCCAGCTCTGGCCATTCAGGCTGTCTGGGGACATGTCTGTCTCTCCCACTGGAATGTGAGATCTGTGAGGGTAGGGCTGGAGCTGTCTTCATCTCTAGTGTTTAATTAATTCAATTAATATTTACTGAAAGGCCAACAAAGTGCCAGTCCCTCATCGAGAAACTGGGGCCACTTAGGAAGAAAATACAGGTCTGGCAATCAAAGAATCACATATGGGTAAACTAAGCTTTTAGGCAGCAGGCAGACAACATGAAAAAGAATTTCACGGACCTGCAAGAGACAGACCTGGGACAGCCCAGATGTTGCTCTGAAGGATGAGTAGGAGTTAACTAGACAAAGAATGGAGGGAAAAGAGTTCTAGGGACGTAGTGAGTAAAGGCCCTGAGGCTGAGGAGAATTCAGCGACTAGGAAGAATGAAGGGTCGGCAAAGCTGAAGCAGGGGCGCCCAGGGGGTCTGGGGGTCTGGTGCTAAGCCGAAGCCTGGCACAGAGGAGCACTCAGTTCTTGTTACTGAACTGATAGAAAAGTATGTCAAAAAATAACCATACTCCTGGGTGCCAGTCACTAGATCTCCCAGGCTGATGGGGGCCATGAGCACAAAAGGCAGAACTCCCTGCCTTGTGAAATTTTGCATGCCAAACCTTTCCACATCTACATCTTGAGCTATAAACAGCTACTGGAAGATGTGGATAGACAGAAAGAAAAACAAACAACAATGAAAACCAGTAACCACAGAGACTGGGGACCCCAAAAGAGAGGATGCCTGCCCACCCGCCAGGTGGGGCTTTACTTACCGTGACACTGCGGATGACTCCCGTCTGCCCCACCACCTGTGTATCCAGGTAGGTGTCCCGCACCTTCACCTGGATGTCAGTGGTCACCCAGTCGCTGGAATTCTGTTCAATGCCTGAGCCCGGCGTGTGCGGGTTGTAGCCACCAGGGGAAGGAGCTCCAGGTGTCATCGGACTGTAGCCCACGGGGCTCGGGCTGGGGCTGGCCTGTAGGGAAAAGGGGATGCGGTTGCTGGGAACAGGTCATTTGGCCTGGGTGTCCCTATAGGCCCAAGGCCCATCTTAGCCCACCACGCTCAAGAATGTGTAAGTTGACCAGTACCTGATATGCCATTGGCGAGGGTGTGGGGTGGTAGCTGGCTGGGGAGTGGGTATTCTGATAGCCTGCTGGACTTGGCGCCACCTGGTGGTAGCTCTGAGGGCTGGGGCTGGGCTGGTAGGAGCCTTGCGGGGAGGGGGCCGCATAGGGGGAAAACTGGTCTGTGTTGTACCTGCAGAGACAAGGAGCGAAGCGGGTATTAGTTGGGGGCATTAGAAGGTGAGAGAAGGGACTTCCCTGGTGGTCCAGTGGTTAAGAATCCGCCTTGCAATGCAGGGGGCCTGGGTTCGATCCCTGGTCAGGGAACTAGATCCCACAGGCGACAACTAGTTCACATGCTGCAATGAAAGATCCCACATGATGCAACGCAAACCCAATGCACCAAATAAATAAATATTAGAAGGAGAGAAGGTGATGGCAGTGAGGAAGCTTTGGCAGCGGGAAGGTTTTGGCAGCAGCTGATAAGGGCTAGCCCCAATGGACTCACATGGCTGGTGTCCCTGGAGTCTGTGGGTTGTACTGTGGGTTGACCTGCGGGGACGAGGGGTCTGGGTAGCCAGGTGTTTGGGGGTTGGGGGTGCCCCCG